TCATTATTTACAATTATTTATTAAGATGTTTTTCATTATTTATCATTATCTATTAAGATATTTCTCATTATTTATTAGCATTATTTATCATTCATCATTTATCAAGATTAACATTACATGGAAGGATATTTAGAGAAAACCAAGTGTATGTCTGTTTATTTATATAAGTACACTTTTCAGAGGGAGAGTGGGTATAAGAGAAATTTATATTAAACAATTCTAGTAAGACTATTTGTTGATGTTACACGAATAATTATAATATATATATATATTATTATATATATATATATATATATATATATATTGTGTGTGTGTGTGTGTGTGTTTGTGTGTGTGTGTGTGTGTGTGTGTGTGTGTGTGTGTGTGTGTGTGTGTGTGGTGTGTTGTGTGTGTGTGTGTGTGTGTGTGTGTGTGTGTGTGTGTGTGTGTGTGTGTGTGTGTGTGTGTGTGTGTGTGTGTGTGTGTGTGTGTGTGTGTTGTGTGTGTGTGTGTGTGTGTGTGTGTGTGGTGTCATTAATTTCTTTTCTTACAATACTAACAATACCTTATCAGTATACATCCATAATTCAAAATCAGTAGAAATCGCTTCGCTCAACAAATATGTAAGGCTCGATATGTGCAAGTGAAAAATAGCATTACGTGTTGAACAATGAAAGTTCGCGGCGGTACATTGCAATAATAACAGTTCTTCGGTTTTGGAAATGTCTGTGTTGGTCTCCTCTCTGTGTTGACCAGACGAAGACCCAGAAGCATCCCCGACCACGCCGAAAAAAGAATCCCTCATAAAATTATCCGGTTATGCATCAGAAACTCTAGTGAAAGTATCAAGACAGGCATATCTATTCATGCAGAGAACAAGTCTCATACAGACTGTTTTCACTCACATGGTGCGCAAGGGATCTGTCTGCCTGGAAAGTACCGTCAATTACATTTTGTGAAGGATTCTGCACTCCGGGACATGTTGCTACTGCACTAGCCTGCATACCGTCATGATGGGGAAAATAATCTTCTGAATCGGTGAGACGGTTCTTAAATCTTGTCTCCGAAGCAGCGGAGAGCGTGAGACACTCCCCCTGGCAGCCTTGGACGGCCGTGTCTGAGACGTCGGGAGAAGAGGCGTTGCCAAGGCCAGGGGTCGGGAGTACGATGTTGAACTCGTACGTCTGATCCAGAGCCGTCTCTTTGTCGTTCGCAGGTCGCCGTCTCTTTATTTTCTTGATTAGGTAGACGAGAATGGCAATGCAAGATAAGACAGAGAGTCCTGTTATCGGTCCATAAATCTTAGGGTCGAGATCATCAGTTATCCCACTACTAGTTGTTTGTGTTGTCGGAACACTACTCGTTGAGGCCCCGGTACTGGTCACCACAGCACTGCTCGTTGTGGGGTGAACGTACGGAAGCTGAGGAGAGTAACCGAATCGTCCACATTCGGTTACCAGAACTCGCTGACACAAAAGAGGGATTCTAAACAAATTTCTCGACTTATGAGGCTCATACATATCAATGAAAGTCTCATAAACTTTCACTGAAATGTTAAAATGCAACCACTCATTTACCACATAGAAGTTATGTGGAAGGAGAAAACTGTCTCGCAGCAATCCATCGCAGGGATGTTTCACGCTTAAGAGAATCCCGTTTTGGTTTCCCTCCATGTCCACACACGCGATCCTGTAGCCATTGTCATCTAGAAAAATCAGTTTCGGGTTCCAATTAGACAAGCGGGTCTGAGCCTTGATGCTCACTACACCAGGTATCGCTACTGCCGATCCCTCCTCGAAAGTCTCACATGGCAAGTCCTCACAGCCGTAGAATGAATTGATTTCTCGCGTCGAGGGCAGCGTCACTGGTCGTTTGCTGTCCAGGAACGATGTTGAATCTTCGCCGGTTCCTAAGACATCAGGACGACTTCCCTCCGCCTTCGAGACGTTGGTATTTATCGGAAAGTCAGTACCTTGTTGATTGGACGGGGACTGAGGAGAGTAACCGAATCGTTCACATTCGGTTACCTGAACTCGCTGGCACAAAGCAGGAATTATAAATAATTTTCTCGGGCTATGAGGCTTATACATGTCAATGAAAGTCATACCATCTTTCAGTGAAAAGTTGACATGTAGCCACTCATCTTCACTATAAAAATTAGATGGAATGTATGCAGTCTGTAGAGGCGGGCCATTGCAGGGACGTTTCTCGCTTAAGATTATCCCGTTTCGGTTTCCCTTCATGTCAACACACGCAATCTTGTTGCCATCGCCGTCTTCACATAGCAGTTTCGGGTTCCAATTCGGCAAGCGGGTCTGAGCCTTGATGCTCACTACACCAGGAACCGGTACTGCCAAGTCTTCCTCGAAAGTTGCACATGGCAATTCCTCACACCGAGCAACTTGATTCCTCGCGTCGAGGACCGCGCTGATCGTGTGCCGTTCAGGATGAACGCTGAATCTCCTCCGGTTCCTGAAACGTCAGGACGACCTCCCTCCGACAGGCGAGGCGCCCACAGAGC